GTCAGAGTGGATGGATACCATGTTCATGAGGGGCAGGTGCTGACATCCCCCAAAAAGTCCCCTCCAATAAACGAGACTTTATTTTCGGCATTGGGACCGCCCATTAAAATGAACCAAAAATGTATTTATTTCTCCCAAAATCTGATTAAAACACTTTGAGGGGAATTTTGTCAAAAGCTGGAGCGGCTGTACCTGGCAGCCAATCAGCTTCTATCTTTCATCTTCCGATCTTTATTGAACAGTCTGAAGAGAGGAGATGATTGGTTGCCACGGGCGACTGCTCCAGATTTTGATAGATTCCCCCCTTTAAGTTTTGGGGGTGATTTATAAACTGTCCGCGCAGAGCTTCGCTGGGCAGACGAGAGTCATAGAGCTGTGCGGCCACTAGGTGGAGCCGAGGAGCAATGACATTCCCTGTACTCCTCGGCTCCACCTAGTGGCCGCACGGCGCTACAGCTCTCATTCGCGCAGTGAACAGCCCAGCGAACCGTTTATATATCTTTGATACATCAGCTGTGTAAAGTCGGCGTGAAGATCACCTCAGCGTGCAAAGTACTTTACCGACACTCAACGGGCAAAGCGTCTCGCAGGGCAGGTCCTCTTCTTCAGCACCCCCGCGATGTACACTGGTACCCCGAAAATGAATGGCGTCAGGCTGCACCTCACTACTGCTGGTCAGAGGTCCTATTGTTCATCTAAAACAGATATCAAAATGAATATACAGAGTATACAGAACATATACAGAGTATACAGGATATATACAGAGTATACAGGATATATACAGAGTATACAGGATATATACAGAGTATACAGGATATATACAGAGTATATACAGAGTGTATACAGGATATATACAGAGTATACAGGATATATACAGAGTATATACAGAGTATACAGGATATATACAGAGTATACAGGATATATACAGAGTATATACAGGATATATACAGAGTATATACAGAGTGTATACAGGATATATACAGAGTATACAGGATATATACAGAGTATACAGGATATATACAGAGTATACAGGATATATACAGAGTATACAGGATATATACAGAGTATATACAGAGTATACAGGATATATACAGAGTATACAGGATATATACAGAGTATATACAGGATATATACAGAGTATATACAGAGTGTATACAGAATATATACAGAGTATACAGGATATATACAGAGTATACAGGATATATACAGAGTATACAGGATATATACAGAGTATACAGGATATATACAGAGTATACAGGATATATACAGAGTATATACAGAGTATACAGGATATATACAGAGTATACAGGATATATACAGAGTATATACAGGATATATACAGAGTATATACACAGTGTATACAGGATATATACAGAGTATACAGGGTATATACAGAGTATACAGGATATATACAGAGTATACAGGATATATACAGAGTATACAGGATATATACAGAGTATACAGGATATATACAGAGTATACAGGATATATACAGAGTATACAGGATATATACAGAGTATATACAGAGTATACAGGATATATACAGAGTATACAGGATATATACAGAGTATATACAGGATATATACAGAGTATATACAGAGTGTATACAGGATATATACAGAGTATACAGGATATATACAGAGTATACAGGATATATACAGAGTATACAGAGTATATACAGAGTGTATACAGGATATATACAGAGTATACAGGATATATACAGCGTATACAGGATATATACAGAGTATATACAGAGTATATACAGGATATATACAGAGTATATACAGAGTATATACAGGATATATACAGAGTATATACAGAGTATACAGGATATATACAGAGTATATACAGACGTAGATGGTACACATAGGAGTCAGGCAGTACTGTGTACAGATTGATGAATGTATATCATAGTATTTGAGGTTGAATAAAGCCACGGGTCCATCGAGTCCCATCTTTGCGTGTCTGTGTGTGATTGTGCGTGTGTATATGTGTGTGTGATTGTGTGTGTGATTGTGCGTGTGTATATGTGTGTGTGATTGTGTGTGTGTATATGTGTGTGTGTGATTGTGCGTGTGTATATGTGTGTGTGTGATTGTGCGTGTGTATATGTGTGTGTGATTGTGCGTGTGTGTATATGTGTGTGTGTGTGTGATTGTGTGTGTGTGATTGTGTGTGTGATTGTGCGTGTGTATATGT